CCTCCTCCACCTCTGGATGGATTAATACATGGGAGAGAGCTGCAGACAGCTCCCAACCCCGCACGGGGAGAAATCGAGGGTGACTTTTCTATAACAAAGTTCGGGACTGTATCCAGGGGAAAGATCCTTCCTCTAATAACAGATTCAGAGAGGAATATTAATGGACTGACTCCAGTTTTGAACTTTTGCCCCGTGGTCTGTCTTTGCTCCCTTGACTCGGAGCTGGCTCCTTTCTGAACGAAGGAGGGGAGGAATGAACGTGCAGCAGTGGGAGAGGGAGGCCAGGGGAGAGCGAGAAGGCAAGAAAGAGTGGAGGAGAGAGAGAGGATGAGAGAGAAAAAGAGGGGGAAAGGGCAAGATGAAAGAAAAGAAGGAAAGGCCAGGGGAGAGCGAGAAGGCAAGAAAGAGTGGAGGAGAGAGAGAGGATGAGAGAGAAAAAGAGGGGGAAAGGGAAAGATGAAAGAAAAGAAGGAAAGAAGGAGAAGGAAAGAAGATAAAAAGAGCAAGAAGGACAGAGAGGGAAGGGAAAAGAAAAGGGATCAAAAAGAGAAAGAAGCTAAAAGAAAGAGAAGACAGCAAAGAGAAAAAACAGAAAAGAAGGAAAGATGAAGGAAAGAAGGAATGAAGAGACGTAGGTGCTGGAGGGCAGCCGTACAGGCTGGGATCTGTCCCCCCACACAGAGCCGGGGCCCCCAGGCTCCCCAGGGGAGGGACCCGGGGGCTGCAGCTCTCACCTTTGAGGCTGGAGGTGCCGACAGCAGGCACGGCAGGGCAGGAGGACTGGGCGAAGCACTTGAAGGCTGTCTGCTCGTTGGAGGACTCATCTGAGGTGGGGTTTTCCTTCTTCTGCCTCTCGTCGTACACCCGCATGGACTGCAGGGTCAGCTGCTTCCTATGGGCACACACACCCGCTGGGCGAGCAGACCCCGAGACCCCCCCGGGACCCCCATCCCTTCTCCAATCCCTCTTGAGTTCCTATTTGGGGATGACTAAGGCAGGGCTGTCTGCTCGTTGGAGGACTCATCTGAGGTGGGGTTTTCCTTCTTCTGCCTCTCGTCGTACACCCGCATGGACTGCAGGGTCAGCTGCTTCCTATGGGCACACACACCCGCTGGGCGAGCAGACCCCGAGACCCCCCCGGGACCCCCATCCCTTCTCCAATCCCTCTTGAGTTCCTATTTGGGGATGACTAAGGCAGGGGAATGAAGGGCCAAGGTCCCCTCGAGGGGGGAATGCCTTGGCTGCTAATGAGAGGAGATTTCTTGGAAGCGGTGAGCAGCTCCTCAGCAAAGGCAGATATTAAAGAGGCAGAAGGGAGAGGGAAGCATTCCCTGGAGATTAGCTTTTAAAAAGCAAGGATGTTCCAGAGATATGAGCCATCTTAATGGTTGCTAAGATTGCTAGGAAGTGGTTATTTTGTTAGGCACTTTATGTAATCTTTTCACCAACAATTAACCCGGAGTAAAAATCTATTTATATTTAGAGAGAAATTAGAAATCATTTCCGTCCTGTGGCTCCAGCGTTGGCTTTATTTTCACACTGGCGGACACTAGGAGCTGGCATGTGTGTGTGTGTGTGTGTGCACTGGGCTCAGGGCTAAGCGGGGAGAAAGGCCTCTTGTTTTACATTACATTTCCAACCCTCCTTTTTTCTGGGGGAATGGGGGGTGGTAGTGGTGGTAAAAAAGAGGAATAAATAGATTTATTCATTATCTAAACTCGGCTGCAAATGGATAAAATAAAAACAAATAAGGACATATGCCCCATCAAAGGGAAAAAAAAAATCATCCTTTTCTCTATTTTTCCCATGATTAAAAATGAAATTCTTCAGTCCATTAAAACGAGTCCTGTCCATCTGTCTACCTGAGGCACAAACTGCATCCTGCTGCTTTCAGTAAAAAAAAAATAGAGATTCTTCCATCACTAATTACTTCCATATTCACGAGATACCTCTGTCACAACAGTTTATTTATATGTTTCTCCTCCACATATTAGTCTTTCTGACATAGTCCCCGGGAAAACACCAGAGGTGGAACCAGCAATCAGCTCTGCCCTCACTTCTCCCTCTTTCCCAGTCCCACATACAAACTATAATGCAATATTCCCTCTCAAAAATTTAAGGGAAACTTCTTTTGCCGATGATATCTGCTTAATGTACCACCAGCAGTGTGGCCAGCCATTCCCTGCACCGTGGAAAAAAAAAAAAAAAAAAAAAAAAAAACCAACATGGAAAGCAGGAAAGAATTCCCATGCAATCAGCTTGGCATTATTAACGCCAAGATCCTTATGAATTTTGGCGGGGGGGATGTGTGGTTTGGAGACAAGGCGAAGTGATTTTGACCTCTGCTCGAGTTCTGAGCTTTACCCACAAAACCCCAACAAGGAGCCTCTTTATGATCTATCCGGACTCACCTTTTTTCCCTCCTTCCATTCCCGGTGTCCCGAAAACCTTTGGCAAAGGGATTGTTGTCAATTTTTAATTGAGTGATCTACGGGATGAAGAGAAAGGAGAAAAAAAAATAATAAAAAAAAATGGTAGGGGGTTGGGACAGAAATAAGGAAATTTTGGATTAAAAAACAGCAGCAAAAAGACCCCTCTCCCCAGTTTCGCCAGTGCCTGCAGGATCCCGGCAGGAGCAGGACTGGTAGGAGTAAAGATCCCTGGTTTTGGTGTGAATCTCTATTTTCCCTAGCCAGTTTGGACACAGTGCATCTCCAGCTCCGTGTCAGGGCTGGCCAATGACCCCGGGCTGCGGTGGCAATGAAAGAGCCCCGTGTTGCTGCCACCGCATCAGAATTAATTGAGCCGTGCAATGCGATCCATGCAAGTTATGCCTGTGCTTAAAACTCTTTAAATGCCATAATTAAACCGCAAAGGAATCATGCCCACCCCATCCCCCGTGCTATAATAAAATACTTTATATAATCGCATTATGCTCCGCGTGTGCGTTGGGGCACTGGGGGTGCCAGGAGCCAGTTGATTTTTGGGGGCAGGGGGTTGGTAGTATATAAGTTTTTTGGTAGATGCTTAGGGTTTTCCTCAGGATTCAGGAAACGACTGTTCCTTCATGAGTTTGGTGGGATTGGGGTGGGGGGTGGGGGTGTGCAGGACACCCCATACCCCCGCATACAATGAGCAGAAGCTGATTCAAAGCCCGGCTGGGGCTTCCGTGGCCATAATGCAATAAGGACAACGGGAACCGGGATGCTTTACTCCCGGTCCCGGACCAAGCTGGAAGCATCGCAATCCCCCCAGTTTGAGGGCAGATCAGGATGCCGAAAAGCAAATCCCTGTCTGCAGCTGAGCACTGGGAAGGACCGTTCCCCAGTCACCTCGTTATCCCCCCGCTTCCCCCCGGGATCAGCAAAGAGCAGGAAAACCCACTGCTAAAACCCAGCAGGACTTTTAATACAGGTGATCCCGGCCGTGCCTTCCGACCGGCCGGCGAGCACTCCTGCCACTCCTGCACGCCGCTTTCCAGGCGATTTCATGGCAATCAGACAAATATGCTCATTTCTGTCCTTCAACCAAGCCGGCCCCAGCTGATATACCAGGGTGAAAAGCCCTGCTGATAAGTCCCAAAGCAAAGTCTACTCTCTGTACACACATTTTCTTTCCATTTCCTTGCAAGCGCCCAGCAGCAGAAAGAGAGGAAAATAAGCTAAGCCCCAAGGGAAAAGTGGCCTTTTGGAAACCGAGGATAGAAAGGACAGATTCCCCCCTCTTCACCTTTTAGTTTTTAATAGTGAAAGATGTGAAGGGGCGGAGAGAGGGACGGGGAAGCTGCAGCAAGCGGGCGCTGCACATACAGACCCTCCGCGCTTAACGCACATGCATGCAAAGTTATAATTTATAGAGAGGAAAAAAAAAAATCAAAGCCCCTTTTTTGGCTCTTTCGCTTCCTTCCACTTGATTTAATTATCGTAAATTCACTATTTGCCACTCTTCCCAATATACCACCTTGGTCGCAAGCAACAATAAACCGGCAGAAATGGGAAGGCAGCGTCCGCAGAGCTGCAAAACTTTCTCACACTGGCTCTTTCAGACCTCGCAGCTAAATTCGAGCGAGATACCCCTCTCTGATCAGAGCATATTTTTGCACCACAAAAAATAATAAAACACTGCAGGATGCAAGAAAAAAAATCATAATATAATAATAATAGGAACCAGACGTGCACTCCAGCCTTATTGCCAATTGCTGTTAAAGGAGCTAAAACAGCACAAAGGCCAGGAAGAATTACAAAATCTTCAGCCCCGATGCTCTCCCCCTCTGTCTTTCAACACACGGAGCCGATTCTCTTCACCCCCTCCCCTCCTCCCTCCTTTTTCCTTTTCTGGTGCATCTTAGATTAAATCCACACTGAAGGCAGCAATCCCCACCCCATCCTACCTCTTTCCACATACCGGCAAGCAGTACCGGTGAAATAAAAAGGTTAAGAGCCCTAAACGGCCCCCCCACACCCCAGACCTCCCTTTTAATTGCCTTCCCCGAGGTCAGTATTAGGAAGGTGCCCGACCCCCTCCCCCGGCGCCTTCCCAAAGTTGGATCAAGGAGATCTGGGGGGAAAAGACGAGGAGGGAATAGTGGGGGAGAAGAGCTGGATGGGCTTCGTGATTTTTAAGGGAACAATGCAGAGTAGAAGTTCTCTTAAAAGCCAAAACACGTAAACCAAATCCATTCTTAATCTCCTTACCTTATCATTCTGGTATGCGGTCACTGCGATGAATTCAGTCTCCGGGAAAACGTAGGTCCTGAACGTGCTATAGGGAAGCTTGAGAATATCGTTGGCTCGAACGATGTGGAACCGGGGCTGGTACTTGTGCATGGAGTTTAAAATGGTCTGGGTGGGGGGAAACAGCGGCCGGCGGCAAAGAGCAAAGAGGGGGGGAAGAAGACGGTCAGCAGGAGCAGCACCCCCGCCTCACACTTCCCCCCCAGCCACCGGCACTTTCTCCTCCTAATTTGCCTTCCCTCTCCTTCCTCCCCTCACTCCTCCTCCCCGCCGAGCACACTCCAAACACACACACACGCCTTGCAGCATCCAACAAAAAGCACTGACAGCTCCAGCTCGCCGGGGTTAGACTCATCCGCTGGGCCTTTCAGAGGGGAAAAGGGGACGGAAAATCCCAGCACAGCTTTTCTAGGAGAGGGGGGGAAACTATCTCGGCTCCGGCCGCAAAGTGTTTTGATTTCAAAGTGAAAGAAAGAAAAAAAGAAATACAAAATTAAAACCAAGTAAAAAAGCAGCAGCAGCAGCTACAACAGCAACACGACCACGAGAGCCTTAGCTAGGTCTAATTGCTCGCCCCAATCCACTTAAGGCCTTCTGCGAAAGGCAAAAATGTATCGTCTAATCAAATCACTGCCAGCAAATGCAATCTTCGGCACATTAGAGATCCCCCGACCGCGGCCACCACCAGCAACCCCCGGCTCCGAGGTGGAGGCTTGCCCAGGAACAGACAGAAATGGCAAGGATCGTCAGAGCACTTATCAGCAGGTTTGTTTGATTTCACTCTTAGGGTAAGTTTTTATCTCTGCACACCCGGTAAATGTAAAGGAGTGGATAGACATGAATGGGCAACTTGACCTCTGATTTTGGTCCCTGTTTATTTTCACTCCGGCTTGCTTTACATTATCCAGATTAATATATATTTAAATGTTTGCGTACTTAGGCCTTTAAGCCCTTTATACACACACACATATCATATTCCTATGCTTAAAAAGTGTGATTGACTTTATTAAAGAAAATAAAATAGATATAGAGAGTCACCATAGCTCTAAAAAATACCCAGTTGCACTATGATGGGAATATACCTGTCTAAAGTTAATGGTGAATGGCATGGAGAGGTTATAGAATAAACTCGAGGGTTTCATCCTGACCTCAGCAACACTAAAAATCATGGAATAATGTAAACCGGGCAGAAGCACATCCCCTGTATGTGTGGAAAGGGGTTATTCCCTATTTCCCTGCCGCGGGAGCTGCGGGCCCGGCTCTGTCTGGAGTAGGGGGTCTGGCAGTAAGGAGGGGGTAACGGAAAGGGGAAAAGGCACTCACAAATCCGTGCTTGTCAGAGATGTTGTTAGTGAGCTTCAGCTTGTGAAAGGTGACAACTTTGGACATCCATTGTTCGCCGGTGGCCGGGCTGTCCGGGTGGATGTACATTCTCTTTGGCATTTCAGGGTCAGCTTTCCCAGCTACCATCCACCGGGAATTATGGAATTTGTACCTACAATCATCAGCCGCCACAATATCCATCAATAAAATGTATTTGGCCTTTTTATCCAGTCCAGTGCATCTCACTTTAAATGGAGGAAACATTCTAGAGGAAAGAAGGGGGTGGGGGTGGGGGGGGGGAGTTAAAGAAAAGACAAAACGAAAATAAAACATAATTAATTACAGCGTTTAAAGAAGCTCCAGATTCTCGGTAGCGTTTCTACCAAGCAATCGCTTCAGCTCGAAGCAGTAGAAAAATCGTGTGTGTGTCCCAGCAAAAAGCCTCCCCCACCCTCATCCACAGAGATACGGTTGCTCAAACGCCTCAAAGTTTCAGGAGAAAATGGTCCCTCGGATGGGAAGCAGAGGGGGAGAGGTCCGTGTTCCTTAGGAATCTACAGGCGCCTTCCCTCTCCCACTCCTGAACCGCAGAGCCTCAGCTGTGGCTCTTGGCTTTCCCATGATTTTCCTGCTAAACAAAGAAATGCGAACAGCTCGTACCCCGATAAAATAACTATTCCGCATTATTCTGACCCAATCCACCAGTGTGGAAGCAGAGAGGGCATGTTTTCACCTTACAGAAAAGGAGGAAAAATTAAGAAGCCCCCTCGGTTGAGGAGGACAGGGCGGTTGCAGGGCTCCCCCCCGCCGGGGATAGCCCATGGTGTGGCAGGGGGCTCCTCGCATCCCTCACCGCGCTGCCCGGTCCGGCTCCGAGCTGCAACAGGATACCACAAATTTGCTGTTTATTATATCGAGCGGTTGGCATCCAGCAATCTCAACTTAAAAGGAAACACATGACTTTGCAACATATAAGAGCGCTTAACACTGGCCGAGGCATTCGCGCAAAAACTTTTGGACCACAATTAACAAAGGAAAACTTCGGCAAAGCAGTAAAATGGGCGAGGGGATTTTTATTCTTTCCCTCTTTGCTGCTCTTAGTTTATTTTTCTTTCCCCTGAGCCTGCAACTGGTGCTCTGAAAGTAGGTGAAACTCCGCAAGGCAGATGAAGGCCATCTAAGAAGACTTTTCAGGAGTGGCTTCCTCGAGTCATTTTCCTGGCAAATTACACGCGAATTGTTTAGGAGGTTTCTAAGAGAGTCTCTTAGAAAAACACCCGGGTGCAAAGGGGGATTTTCCCCCTCCGTGTCATCACAGCGATACGTAAAGTTGTAAAAGAGCGCAGATGTCAATACAGAGAGGGATTTCAGGTGGGTAAAGATCTAAAAGGCAGAAGCGCGGAGCATGGACGCGCCGGGTGGGTTCGTTCATTCCCGGGCGAAGGTTTCACGACCGTAGGGACGAGACCTGCGGGGCCGGGACTGCTGCACGGCTTTGGCAGCTTTTTGTGATTTTCTAACTAGAATTAGGTAGCACAAATGCACGCCTAGATCCCAGCAGACAGAGGTACAAGCAAAGCAACCGATAAGCTGAGCCTATGTGCCCTCCTGCAGCTTCTGCCTCGCCAGCAGCAAGCCGCCGCTCCAAATAATTTTTCCTTCATTCTCCCTTCTTTTTCTGAAAGAAGAAAAACTACATGCAGCAAGGTTGAAATCAGGCCGGCTCCATTTCCAGCCCCAACTAATTTTCTTTCTGCTCCTAGTCTTCCCCAAGCAGCATTAAGCTACTGAAGCACGAAGGGACCCTCTTGCTGAGCAGGGCCGGTTCGTGGCAGCGAATTTCCCCGCAGTGTTGCTGCCCGAGTTGGGCTCAGATCTCCTGCTGCCTAAAACTTTCCGTAATTCCAGGTGAAAGGAGCTTTATGGAGAAAGCAGCCGGTGAAAGAGCCTTGCTCTGGAGCAGCCTGGTGGGGTGCAGGGACTGCGGGGTGAGGGAGAGGGGGTAAATAGAAGAAAGACACAACCCCCCGACCCAGACCTACCTTCCCGATTTGGTAATCACCATCTCCGTGCCTCTTTTATGGAATTGCTCCCAAAGCTCTTTGGCTTCCAGATGCACTTTTGGATCATCTTCCACCTCTTCTTCTGGCTCCAGAGTTTTTAAAGGCCTCAGATGGGCTGCTGCCTGGTGACCCAGGGAAGAAAAGGGGATACCAGTCTCTGCAGCCCCCACTAACTGATCCATGATGGGTTTAGCCAGAGCCCCGGGAAGGGAGAGAGCAGCCGCCCCGTTGGGAGGCAAAGCCAGAGCCGGGAAGAAGGGAGGCTGATGTCCCAACACAGCGCTCATGGCAAAGTCCGGTGCCCGGTGCGGTAAAAAAGGATGATAAGCCATGCTTGTCCCAGGGATTACTGGATCTCTCATCGGTATATTCATCCACTCCACTCCTCGGTCTTCCTACTGCTGGAGTAGTCCCGGAGTGGTTTCTAACAGCACATCATGAAGAAGAAAAATTAAGATAATAACAATAACAGCAAGAAAACACAAAAAAAAAAAAAACCTAAAAAAAAATATAGGGTGGGGGGAAATAAGCTTTAGACAGCACAGTACATGGGGGAGAGGCAGAACTTCTGCAGCCTACAACTTCCCGAGCCGGGGCACATCCCCAGCCCTCGGGACAGCGGATTAACAGGATTGTTCATTATTAGTCTTGCTTTTTTTGTCTTCGGTCTCTGCGGTTTGCCTTTTTTTGTGTGTGTGTGTCCTGAGTGGAAGTCCTTGCGCTGGAAAAGAAACGCCGAAGAAGGGAGGGGGGGAAAAAATCCACCGGGTTCGCTGTCTGCTCCTGTTGCCGCAGAAGGGCTGGACAAGC